CAACAGTGATTGTGTTTTGTAGTGTGTTAGTGCGAAGTTACTTAGGCACCAGTGATCGAGAAATACAACTGTACACACGCTTCTAGTTTTCAAGCAGAACACTGGTTTTGTCCTGAAGCAACATTCCTCAGATTTCTTTTGGCCTCCAGATGCCTTTACCTCACAGAACTTAGGGAAGACCCCCGAAGAGCTATTGATTTTAGGGTTAGAACCATGAATGTTTTCTGTGTTGGAAATGGGAACGGAGAATTTTTTAAATGCTTATTTACAGACACATTTAGAGGCAGCACAAGCAGGGGAGAGGGGTAGAGGGAGAGAGAGAGAATCCCAAGCAGACTCCACATTTAGCACAGAGCCCAACACGGGGCTTGATGCCACGACCCTGGCATCATGACCTGAGCCAAAATCAAGAGTCAGGGATGGGATGCTCAACTGACTGAGCCACCTAGGTGCCCTTGGCTTGGTTTCTAAAACCTGAATTCAGAAACTCCGACTGAGTCTCCCTACTTTGCATGGTCGTGTAATTATTTGTACAGGTTCAGTAGGAACCTGTCCTGCTTTTACTAGGATGTGATTGGAAAAAATTGGTTATGCAACAAAGTTCTTACCTAGAATGTCACATTTGAAAATGATGCTTAGTGATTTGGTACGGCCATGGTTTTTGAAAAAAGAGCTTTAATGAGATATGATCCATAGCAGACAATTCAGTTAAAGGATACAATTAATTCGGTGGTTGTTCAGAGTTGTGCACAGTGAGTTTTAGAACATTGTTGTCAAAGAAAAGAAACCCCGTGCTCCTTAGCCACTACCCCACCCTAGTCTCCCTCTTCCCCCAAATCCTAGGTACCCACTGTCTGTCCCTATGATTTGCCTACTCGGGGACAGTTTGAGTAAAATGGAACCATACAACATGTGGTCTTTTGTGATCAACATTTTTCACTTCGCATAATGTTTTCCAACTTCAACCACGTTGTAATATTCTCAGTCCTTTTTATGGCTGAATAATATTCCATTGTGTGGACAGTGTTTCGTGTATCCACTGGTAAGTAGATGGACGTCTGGATTGTCTTTACCTTTTGGCTAAATGAATAGCGTTGCGTTGAACATTCCGGTACAAATTCTGCACGGACACATGTTTTACATTTCTCTTGCGTGCGGAGCTAGGAGTAGAATGGCTGGGTCATGCGGTCCCACGATGTTGAACATTTTGGGAAACGGCCAGACTGTTTTCTGAAGTGGCGGTACTTTCCTCTAAAAACAGCCTGTTTTCATTTCTAGATCTTTTCGATGCTGACGATTCCGAGCGTTTTAAATTTATTAGCATTGATTATACCTCCACAACAGCGCTGGGAGGCAGGGATTATTAAATCCATTTTAGAGATGAGGCTGCTTGTTCAACATCACTCGGATAGTAAGAGGCAGACCTGGGATCAAGCTTAAGCTTCAGTCCCAAAGCTCTGTCCCCTCCCCCTCCCCCGCCCACCCCGCTCCGGAGGCTCTGGATCCCACTGCTCCCCAGGAGGTGCAGCGATTGGTGGGCTCTCTCCTCCCTCCACGGGCCTAGGGATGCCATGGAAACTTCCTCCATGGGCTTCCCGGGTCTCCCTCCTCTTCTGGCCCCCACAAATCCCCCAGGCCCTGTGCAGGGTGTTTTAGATGAACTGGCAGAGAGTGCAGAGCCAGATGCTGACGTCCTAGCGGCTCTCCACTTGCCTGAGCTGGAAGGGGACAATACCCAGAGAATAGTGGCCTTTGCTGTGTCCCCCCAGCCCATCTGGGGTGGCAGGGTGGGGAGGGGGCAGGATCTGTCAGCAAGAGCACACGCCTGGGGAGGACGAGGCAGGGGCAGCCAGGAGGTCTCTCCTGTAGCTCTGGGGTCGTCTGTGCCCTCGGCTCACCTCCTACTGCCTCAGTGGTGGCTCACCTGACGCAGGTTTTGACAGCCGCCGAAGGGAGTGGCTTCCAGATTCGTGATTGGTTAAAGAAAAAAATCACAGCAGATGGTCTGTGCCTGCCCCAAGCCTCAGCCGCCTCATTTGAAAAATACACGACAGGCACCTCTAACGCAGCCGTGGGGACGAGACGCCGTGTCCCCGGTGCCGGGAACGCAGTACCGGGAGACAAACACTCAGCTTCTCCTCTGCATCTGGGTGCTGGCGGCGTGCCGGGTGCCGGCCTCGCTGCTCACAGCGGAGGTCCCCGTCGTGTGGGAAGCCCGCTACTGTGCCCGCTCCGTGGATGGGAAGACGGAGGCGCGAGGTTACAAGGCCGCACGGAGGGTCAAGAGGCAGGGCTGGGACTACAGCTCAGCGCCCCCCCCCCGGACCCCAAAGACGAGGCTCTTGCACACCTTGCTCTGCGACAACCTGGAGGAGGCTGGGCTGGAGCCGACCCCCGGGAACGGACGGACGGATGGCTCGGCTCCTCCGCACCCCAGCCTTGCTCCCGAGACGGGCCAGGGGGAGGCTCGACGGGGACAGAGCCCACGAGCTAAGCCGCCAGTGAGCGCACGTGGAGTCACTGTCCCCTTCCTCCGTCGTGCTTGTTCTGAAGACAGACAACAAGAAACGCCAGGGTGGTGCTGACCTCCTGCAGCTCAGAAAGCCGGCCAGGCCAGCAAGGAGACGCAAGCGGCACCTCTGACGAATGTCACCAACCGAACATCGAACGGGCCCCGGGGAGCGGGGACGTCGCCTAGGCGTTAGGTCGTCTGGAGCAGGCGCCGAGCTACGATGCACATCGTGTGCAGAAGCAGGCGGGGGGCGGGGCGGGGGGCACACCCGGGACTTAGCGCTCAGCTCCTGGGCCAGCTGATCTGACTTCGGAAAGGCACCCGTGCCTCCCAAGGCTTCCATCACCGCCTGGGGGGCTTGATCTGCTCCTCAGAAAGTCAGCCAAGGGGCACCTGGGTGGCTCAGTCGGGTGAGCGTCTGACCCTTGATTTCCGCTCAGGTCATGGCCTCATGGTTCATGGGATCGAGCCCCACACGAGGCTCTGTGCCGACAGTGCAAAGCCTACTTGGGATTTTCTCTCTCCCTTTCCCTGGGCCCCTCTCCCCCGCTACTCTCTCTGAAAATAAATAAGCACTTAAAAAACGTCCTGGGCAGCTGCTCCAGCACCGAATCACACCGCTCTACTGGGACGGAGGAAGGAGGCTTCTCCCTGGGCCTCAGTTTTCCCATCTCTAAACCCAGGGGGATTGGGCTAGTCTGGGGATGGAAACGCATCCAGAGACGTTGCCCCATCTTATCCCGCTGAGCCAGGACTCTGTCTCAGAATCCTTAACACACCGCTTCAGGCAACTACCACCGATAAATCGGAGCTGGCTCGCAAGAGGAAACCCGTCTGCCGTCCCTGGACGCATTTGTCTAGAAACATCCCTCAGCTCTAAAGACCGGTTATTCTCCTCTGTACCCCACGTGCTTCACCCCTCATTCCCTTTATCTAAGTTCCCCTGGACTCCTGGTGCGGTGGCTGGGAAGCTGGGGCTGTGTTTATACAGCAGGTGTAGACAGGCAGGAGAAAGAGCGCCCGCGGCCCCAGGAGAGGTTCTCCCGGTGCTCAGAGCGCGGCTGCAGAATCAGGCTGTGGGAGACCAGCCTCTGCAGCTTTCTGGCCGGTCCCGCTGAGGGGGGCTTTGAGGGTGGCGGCTCCCCCCACCCAGCAAGGCCTTGGGTTGACTTGGCAGGAACGGATGAGGGAGCAGGGAGCTTGCCAAGTCCAAGGCCACGCGGCAGGGGTGGCGCGGCCCAGAGCCCACAGAGCCCACAGAGCCCACGCCTGCAAGCCCCAGACTGCTGTTAGCGGGCCAGGGCTGACGGCAGGCCTGCAGACGGCAGAGAATGTCACAGACACGCAAGCTGTGTACCGCAGCCCGAAGGGTACGGTGCTAGTCACTGGCAGGAAGACTGACTCATCTCAGCACCAAGTGCAGGGACCTGACAAACCCAGTCTGCTGAGCTGATGCGCTTGCCGGGGTTAGTCCTTCCGCACTGCCACGCTCGCTTCTCGTCTCAAAGGCTTTATTCCTATCACCACCCACCCCATCTAAGGCCGCCAATTTTTCCGACCAGTGGCTCGGCGGAGAGCGACACGGGCCAGTGTGGCGATTAAAAGTGAAACTTAAATTCCCGGAAAGTATTTAGCGCCAGAAATTCTGGCCCTAAGTGGCACAAACCACATTTCAAGTGCCCACTGGTCACATGCGTCTGTGTGAGATGGCACGGAATAGAACGTTCCCATCATCCCAGAAAGTTCTATCACACAAGCCAGGGCCAGCTAGCTGCGCCCCGGCTTGAGGGTTCAAATCCAACTACTATGCGTTTTGATAAATCAAGTTTTGTTTGAGAGAGAGAGAGAGAGAGAGAGTGAGCATGTGCACGTGAGAGAGGGGGGCAGAGGGAGAGAGAGCCCACGAGAGAGAGACTCTTAAGCAGGCTCCACATTCAGGGTGGAGTCTGATGCGGGGCTCAATCCCACCACCCTGGGATCATGAGCTGAGCCGAAAGCAAGAATCGGGCGCTCAACCGACTGAGCCCCCCAGGCTTTACCAAGTTTTACTGAAACACACCCGTGCCTGTCCCTTTGTGTTTTATGCACGTCTGCTTCTGTGCCACCATAGCAGGGTTAAGTACGTGTGACAGAAACTGGCCGCCGAGCCTGAAATGATTACTATCCGATCCTTTAGAAGGCAAGTTTGCAATCTCTGGTGTAGACTGTCAGAAAGTCGCATCCGGATCATTTCCGGAAAGAGGCTCCCTGACATCCCCAGCAGTCACTAGTAGGTCCCAGGTGTCAGGGCGCTTTTACCTAGGCGCACGGCTCTCCTGGGGAGGGGGCAGGGAACACACGGCTGTCAGCACCCGCTACCAAACTTGGAAGGCCCACAGGATACCCCTCCCCGGGCAGGCTCTTCTCTGGGGGTGCCTGACCTCTGGGAGAGGCAGTGGGGCGAGCCCCTGGGGTGGGCACGGGTCTGCTCAGGAAAACCACACGCTGGAAAGATGTCACCATTTGCTTGCTTTATTTTTCTTTCTTCCCAGGTCAGTGAGGCAGCAATATCAAGAAAAAGTAGACAGGCTGTGTTCTTGGATGGTCATCCGACAACCCCTCCCAAACCAATAATCCACAGATAATTCTAGGAGCTTTTCATCACTCGTGGCCTAATTCGAAGGTCTGGCATCCCACACATCAAAAATAACTCCCTTGGCGATGTTAAGCCAACTTACGCGCGCCCATTTCCGTGAAAGGGGGCACATCTGAGGCAGTGAGAGGGCTGCCGGTGATCTGCCTCCTGGCCCTCCTCAAGTCCCCGCAGATCAAAGAGGGGACCGGGCTAGATGCCGGGCTCCCTCCCGCTCCGCCCCCAGGGCTGCTGGACCAGCGAGGGGCCCGGGAGTTCTCTGTGGACCCTGCAAATGAGCCCCAACTGGCGGCTGCCGACCAATCACTGGTGGACTAGCTCAGCCTTTCTCTCCTTTTAGAAACACTGTCCTTTGTTGAAAGGGAGCCCGAATGGATTCTAGAGGCTCCCCGCTGCTCACTTGGTCATGTCTCCATTGTCCACAGAGGGCAGAATCAATCTGCAGCAGCTTGGAATGCCCCGGGGCCAGAGAGGGTGGATTCTCTCAGAGGGCCCAGAAGCGTCTCAAATGGTAACTTCTGGGACAGCAGGGCCCCAGGACGCTGCGATTGGAGCCCAGCAAAATGCAAATGCGTGAGGGGCTCTTGCTGGCATGCCACCAGGGGAAGCCTTGGCTTCCCTTCCCGTGCGGCCAGGAGACCCTGAGCGGGCAAGGCCCCCCTCTCTGTCTCCGATTCCCAGGCTGAGCTGCTGAAATCTCACTCCTACCAGCCTTTCTGTGCTGATCTGTCCAAGTTATTTGGGAAAATGGAACAAAGAAAAAAAAAATATCCTAAGCTTTCAGCCCTCCCCTCGGGGCCAGGCTTGCAATGCACGCATTCTCCCAGGCCTTCATGAATTACAGAGAAAAACAGCAGGGAGTCCTCTATGGAGCTACGACTGGGGGTGGTTTAATTTGCAAGGGTCCGGGACAGGCCTCAAGTGTTGGCACGTCCCCCGCGCTGCCGTCTCTTCCGCCCGCGCAGCTTCAGCCGCCTGGCTGGCAGGCTGACGGGCTGCTTCCCAAACTTTTCCATGATCTCCCTGATCCTGGCCAGGTTGGTTTTGCTGAGAGTGAAGTCACACCGTGTGGCCCCCATGTCGTAGCCGACCATGCAGTTCTTGGTGGACGAGGTGAACCCTTCCGCCTTGGCCGTGACCACGTACTCCCCGGGGTTCAGGAGGCGCCAGTAGTCCCCATCGCTGGCTGTGAAAAGAAAGCAGGGAATTCAGAGGTTCTCTTCTAACGCAGCTACCCCACCAGTCCTGTTACTCCGGGACCAGCCTCCCGGCCGGAGAGAGACTCAGAGGCAGGCGGTGTGGAATCCGAGCCCCCGCTGATGCAAATTCTTAATGCATTTTGGGAGCTGAGATGTTTTCCTCTTTGGAAGCCACCTTAATGGTTTTACCAGGCAGGGGTTCGAGGTGAAGGCTCCCTGTGGTGTTAATACTCGTGAGTGGAGATGGAGAAATGATCACTCACACTCCTTCCTCTGTGACAATATACGCCATTCATCACCAAGCTGAGCTTCCAAATGGTGTGCCCTCGCCACAAAATGCCATCTTGAAAAGCCATCAGTGCCTGGCTTCCTGGCCTCTCTTAGCACGGCTATAAATACAGAATAGGAATTCTTTCAAGGGGTGGGACTCTTCACTTTTGAAAAGAGAAATAAAGGACCACAGGGGGCCAGGGCCAAATGATCTGGGAGGAGGTGTGGTATCTGCACCCCATTCCATGGCCCTCATTCTTGGCCCGGGGGCCAAGAGAAGCCTGAAGCTTCAGGGGCAGTGACATACCAATGCTGCAAGCCCGAGCTCCTGTCTCCCCAGGGACACTGCTGGTCAGTCACCCCATAAGCACGTAACGGGACCCGTGTCCTAGCTCTAGGCTAGATCTCTGTTGCATAGATGGGTTCCAGGCCAAGGATCTCCTCCCCAGGAGCCTGCAGCCTGCCGACGACACGCAGACTTCAACGCAGACACGCAGACTTTAACGCAGACACGTTAAAGAGACTTCAGGGCATGGGTAACCAGTGACCCCGCAGAGGACGTGGTACCCGGAAGGTCAAGGCAGGCACCGATCCACTGAGTCTCCAAGCAAGCCTTTAACACACGTTGTATGATTACTCCCTTTTCTACCTAAGTAATCTGATGCCCAGGGAGGCATAAAGTCCTGCACAAGGTCGCACAGCTAGTAATCAGCAGGTTAGGCTCTCTCTCTTATGGCAATCTGAGTGTCCCAGCTGCCCTAAAGCTTTGGGGCCAGGAGAGGACGAGGAAAGGGGCTAAGGAGGCCCTGGGCAAGGCTCACATGTCTACACAAGCCATGAAGTCTTCCAAGGGACGGGAGAAAACTCTGTGCGTGTGTGAATATGCATCTCCCACAAACACATAACACTTTGAAGCATCAGGTGTAGATGATAATCTTTATTCATCTGAGACACACGGATGCAATTAAGTGAGCTCACGAGAACACCAAATGCCGTAAAAAATGAACTATGCAGGCAGTTCGGCCTGCTAACTGGTAAACAGGACCCAGGGTGAGAGGTCGGGGTGCACACAACGCACGTGGCTGGCTCCCCGGCTTTCTCAGTGCTGCGCCCACCCTATGTCTTCCTTGGGTGACAATGCAAGCTTTTCAACCGAATAAAAGGCCATCTCATGCTTTTCAGGAGGCAAGAGCCCGTCAGGGGTTCCCTGAGCGTCACAATGCCACTCACCCTTTGAGACCTCCCTCTGGGGTCCCGCGGCCCCCGGGCAAACCTGAACGTGCCGCCCCCTTCACGCATCTCACCTGTCCTACCAGACCGCGCGTCCTCGAGTGTGAGGCCGGGCCCTGTGCTAAGCTGTCGGCTCCTTGAGAGCCTGTGTCTCACTCCTCAACACTTCTAGTGTGTTTCGTACGGTGTGCCCTCTGTGAATGCCTGTGGGATTGAATGTGGTAAAGAGAAACACACACACGGAACCCAATGTCTTATTAACACGTGAACTTGAACTTACTAAGTCCTAACTCCTGTGGATGCTTTTTCCCCTGCGAACACCAGACGGATGTGTTAAGGCCAAGAGCCGGCCGCCCGGAAAGGCTGTCAGAGCGGCTAGAGGCCTCTGGAGGCGAGACCGCTCAGAGTGCACCATCTCGAGAGTACTTTGGGTCATTTTGAAACACCCCAGGGAAGGGGGCAGGGTCCTCACCAAGGGAGGTGCTCACTGAGCAGAGAAGGGGAAAAAAAACCAAAAACCCATAATTAATAAATGCTGATGGGCACCGCTAAGTGTATAAGGAGGTTTGTAAGAAGGGATTCTTCTTCCTCCAAAGCAGAAGGCTCCCTCCTCCACATGGTGGGGGCCTCCTTCTTCTCATGTCATGCTGCCCTGTCTTTAACCTGTCTTTTTTTTTTTTTTTTCCAACGTTTATTTATTTTGGGGACAGAGAGAGACAGAGCATGAACGGGGGAGGGGCAGAGAGAGAGGGAGACACAGAATCGGAAACAGGCTCCAGGCTCCGAGCCGTCAGCCCAGAGCCCGACGCGGGGCTCGAACTCCCGGACCGCGAGATCGTGACCTGAGCTGAAGTCGGCCGCTTCACCGACTGCGCCACCCAGGAGCCCCTAACCTGTCTTTTGAGCACAGTCACATGGGCAGCCCACACTGCTGCATCCCAGGCACTCAGAACACCTCCCACTGGTTCCCGGAATGGAACACCCACCTTACACCTCAGGGCCTTTGCATATGCTGTTCCCCCAACTCCTGTGCTCTTGTATCCCTGAGATGTTTTTAAACGCCTAAAGTTTGTTTCTTAATGATAAAGCCAACTTTTTGTAATTCAAAAGCAATGAGTTCCGTTCCATGCCTCTAGGGGATGAGTCTTCCAAGAAAATCCCCACCGGCTCCTCGCAGGCCACTCCCCCTTGCCCCCCACCCCCTCCAGCCACAAAGAAACCCCGAGAGTTTGCTCTTTAACTCTTGATTCCAAACCTCTGTAATTACTGTTTCTTCCAACCGAAATACTGTTCCCTGTTCTTCCAAAGACCAGCTTGTGCTCCTCCCTTCAGGGAGGGAACCTTCTTTGGCCTTCCCACCAGTTTCTGTATATCCTCCAAATTCTTTCTGGGCTATCATCATAGTCTGCAATTACCTTTTAAATTTTCCTTGGCAACTACTTGTATGTCTCCCCCCACTAGAACGTACTGTCTGAGGTGAGGGGCATGTCTGTCTCGTTTACCACAGTATTTCTAGGCCAGCATACAGGAGGTGCTCCACAGGATGCGTTAAAAACGAAACCACGGCAGGGGGTGCCTGGGTGGCTCAGTGGGTTAAGCGTCCCACTGTGGCTCAGGCCTTGATCTCACGAGTCGTGGGCTCGAGCCCCACATCAGGCTCTGGGCTGACAGCTCAGGGCCTGGAGTCTGCTTCAGATTCTGTGTCTCCTTCTCTCTCTCTCTGCTCCCCCCCCCCCCCCCCCCGACCCTCCCTCCCTCTCAAAAATAAACACTAAAAATTCCCACCCCCCAAAAAAATGAAACCATCAGGAATTTGTTTGGATTCACGGAATCAGAATGAGGTGGGCCAGCTCTATAATCTATAAGGTTCCGTTTCAGAAACACAGAAGAGGCCTGATTCTCTCATCTGCCTGGCAATGCACCCTCTCCCCCGGAAGTTCTTGCGTCGGGTTTCCCCACGCTTACCCCCAGGGCTCTTGTTATGTGCTTCCAGCCCGACCCCTGGTAAAGTCTAGAACCATCTACCTTGTGAAACTCAGAGATCAGCGTGTTAGGTCACTACCCCTGTCACTGGGTGAGCAGGTCTGTGTTCAAGGGTGAATGTTCTGCGGAATTATAGGAGGGGGGGCACTTCCGCAGCTGGCATCGCTCAGCACGGTGGACAGAAGGAACAACCCAGGCGCTAACAAATGTGCACTCGTTAGCAGGTCAGGTCAGTGCCCACTAGACAGAGGACGCTCATGGGGCTTTCTGAGCCAGGTGTTTGGCCAACCTACTTATTACGTGCGTCTAGAAAGCATTCGTACTCGCTTCTCTCTCCGTGGAATTCAATTCCCCTGTTTAGTTTCTGCAAAATCCCGCCGGAAACAAAACTTGTCAGGTCACAGAAGCTCAGAGAGAAATCAAGGCAAATGCAGGGCTTAAGTCGAGCACCAAAAGAGGCTGAAACAAATAAAGAGCTATGTGTGAAGTATGGAGTTTATGTATCATGAGAATACACTGGGAAATTATTTTCGGGGGGAAATAAACGGAGACGGGCAGGCGGCTTCCATCGGCTCATCGAAACCACCTCTGTGATCACAGGGGCTTGAGGTTCAGAGCTCAGTAGGCATAGCACTCTCTTCGGGCTTGTGGGGTCCCTGGGACTCTTTCTCTCCAATTCCATTTAAAACCCTCATGTTTTCTCACATTGTGTACAAAGCACAAATTGTCCCAAGAATATTCTAGGCTCTTTTATGAATCATTCTTTCACAGGAGCTTGTTGGCAACGTTTAAAATACAGTCCCTTCTGTTCCTAACGATCTCCAGCACCTTGCGTAACACCCGGCCCATCGCAAGTCTGGAATCTGCGCGCTGAATGCATGAATGAGTAAGTGAATGAACGAAGGAACCAGCGGCTGCCCGGGAGGGGCCTCGATGTACCAAATGCCACGCCGCACAATGTGAAGCCTCCCGGGCAGGGGCTGTAAGGTCCTCAAGCATGAGCAGGAGGGAGTTTCAGAAAACAGGAAGGCGAGTCATGGCATCACACCGCGTGACATTTCAGCTCCATTTCACCCACTGAAACAGTAATTGGCTTGGGGCGCCTGGGTGGCTCCGTCGGTTAAGCCTCGGACTTCGGCTCAGGTCGTGATCTCGTGGTTTGCGGGTTCGAGCCCCGCATCGGGCTCTGGGCTGACGGCTCGGAGCCCGGAGCCTGTTTTGGATTCTGTGTCTCCCTCTCTCTCTGCCCCTCCCCCCTCACGCTCTGTCTCTCTCTCTCCTTCAAAAATAAATAAACATCAAAAAAAATTGATACAATAACTGGCTTTCTGTAGCAGGCACGTCGGCAGACGGCCCGTCACTGAGCAGCACGTGTTGCAGCCTGAATCCCAGCCTACTCCATCCTAAGGCCCCAGAGGCTTCGGTTCCTCACAGGTCAAATGGGATCGTTTGTTGGAAGGACTGGGTCTGTTAATGCACGAGAAGGGTTTGTGGAGAAAAGGGGCAGGGGCACTGCATTCACAGTCTCAAGCCCCTGGCTCAAATCCCAGCTCTGCTATTCTCTGTGCACTCCCGGAAACACCATGCCGTGTCCATTCATTCGTTCAAACTCACCCCTTCATCCATTCATGCAACAAATATTCATTAAGCACCTACTGAGTGCAGCCTGCACTTCACCGAGGCACGAAAGAGTCAAGGACACCTGGTCTGGAGCAAGCGGGGGAGAAGCAGGAACAAAACAGGCACCAGAGGTACGGGCTTGGCCTGCAGGGTGTCAGAGGCCGGCGGTGGAGACGCTACGGGAGGAGAAAGCTGGAGGCTGAGAGGAAGCAGCAGGTGGTAGGGGCAGGCGGACGGGGTTAGAAAACGTGGCCACCATGGTGGGCCTCGTTGACACGGTGACATCTGCGCAGCGACCCGAAGGGGACGAGGAAGGAACCGAGGGGTTCTCAAGGGAAGGAGGTTCGGGCAGTAGGAGGGGCTGGAGCGAGGACCCCAAAGTGTGGCCTGAGTCCTCGAGGAAGGAGCCGGCGGGGACTACCGAGGACAGCACGCACAGGGCAGTGACTGTTCTTGTTTGACCGAAACGGAGACTCAACGATTTTCACTTTTAAATGGGGACAGTCCTGGGCAAACCAAGCAAGATAGCCGGTCACCCCAGGAGAGGTTTGGGAGGTAACCAGCAGCCTAATCCTGTATGGCCCCGCGCGTGCCCTGAGGACTTTGGGGTGCCCCTGTGGGGTTTAATAAAAGGGTGATATGACCCAGTTAGCTGATAACAAGCTTGCCCTGGCTGCGGGGCTACGAGGGAAGACATAGGAGAAGCCTGCCGGGGGTACCACGGTGAGCCTGGCAGGTGCCACGGGTCGGACCGGCTGGCAGCTAAGGAGGAGGTGAGCGGGCATAGATTCTGTATCTATGTGCTGACAGAGCGGGGGGGAACCAAGGGCAGAACCAAGGCAGAGCATCTGTTCCGTATGGGCACCTTGTGTATCATCCCAACTCTCATCGGCTTTACAGGTGATAACACATGGGGGACACAGGAGGAAAATGAACTTGACCCGGTTTCCCTGGGATTGTCCCCCATTTTAAATCTGAAGTCATACATCCTGGGAACCACCCCCAGTCCCAGGCGAACCCAGACCGCTGGCCGACCCAGCACAGTGTAAGCTCCTGAGCCAAGAGGTACAGGTCAGGCCACACTAAACACCTGCTGAGCTGGCCTCATATCCTGTCTCTCCCAGTTGTTCAAGTGTGTCCGAGGGCTGAACAGGTCTTTCTCATGGCAATCACGATTTCCCTTCTCCTACTGAGTCGGCTCTCTGTGCCCAGGTGGGACCTGTAGTAGGTTGAATGATGGCCCCCAGAAGGGTCCACATCCTACTACCTAGACCCTAATCCAGACCCTGCGAATGTGACCTTGTTTGGGAAAAGGATCTTTGCAGATATAACTAAGGATCTCAAGATGAGACCATCCTGGATGGCCTAGGTAGGCCCTAAATCCAATGACAGGTGTCCTTATCCGAGAGAGAGGAGACACAGGGGGAGGCCACGGAAGATGGAGGCAGAGACTGGAGTGATGGGACCAAGGAAGCTCAGGGGCACGTACAGCCACCAGAAGCCGCAAAAGCCAAGGAAGTTTCCTCCCCAGGGGCTCCAGAGGGAGGACGGCCCCGCTGACACCTTTAGCCGCCATAGCAGTGAGGGAATAAATTTCTAATTCTTTAAGTTTGTGGTCAGTTGTCACCGCCCCCGCGGGAAACAAACACAGGGCCCGGTCCCAATGCCTTGCTCACTACAGCTGACACCAAAGCAAAGCGCATCCACCTACACTATGACGCACGCAGCGCTCCCCAGAGTGTCCCCGGCGGACGAAAACCTCTGTGTGCAGACGCACCGTCTCCACCAGAGCCCCTGCACACAAGCGGATTTAGGCTTCTCGCCAATTCTGTTCCCGGTGCACCTGCCACGACATCATGCTGCCCACACTACCCGTCAAAGTCAGTGTTTCCTCATATCTCACCAAACACACTGAGCACCACCCCAGGTGACAATGGCCCTGGGCACAAGGGAGAGACTTCGTGGGTTTCACAGCAGCACGAAAGCCCTGAGTGAGCAGGGACATGCCTGGGGCTGGGAGTCAGATGCCTGAACCCAGGCCCCACCCGCCAGTGGGTCCTTTAACCCCCCCCCCCCCCCCACTGAGCATCTGGTTTTCACACGAATGAGGGAGACACCAGAAAGCACAGGCTGAGCGCCTTGCTTGCCAGGGTCTCCACGGTTAAGTTTGAGGCAGGAGACAATCGTTCAGCTCTCCATACGAAGTTTCTGGCATGCAACATGTGGTGTTGACCCCAGAAAAATGCTTCAAGGAAACAGATATTTCCTACCGAGAGACAGTTCATCGACACTCGCGGTTACCTGTTCGGATGTCATGGTTAACACCTTCCACGGAGATGATGGCATTGGGAATTCCTTTTCCGTGGGCGTCCCTCACCATGCCTTTGATGCCACGATGGACCTGCTCAGAAACACGACAGGAAACGGTGAGCTCACAACTCGCTCAACCCAACACGCACAGTGAAGACGGCTGTAAGCCGAATGCCAGCCCGGTGCCCCCAGGAAGCCTCTCAAAGCCGTATCTAGCTCGAAAGCTCCCTGGCTGTGCCTGGATTTGGTGTGCAAATTTCTGTATTCCTTTTGGGTCCATGTACTGGGAAGTCTTCCCCTGAAGTTCAATTATCCCAGAGGCTTAAAAAATCTTAGGATCTTAGATGGTTCATAAAAACCACACCCGGTAAAAATGGAATTTAATTTTTTATAGGCACGTTTATTTGGACTTCCCTAATCGATAATGACTTAATACGTACACCCAACAACGTAAGAGTCAGAGAGGAAAGAAGAAAGTCAAAGGCATTCCTATAATGACATTGACATTCCTACATGACATTCCTATAATGTCATGTGTCCACAGGGCCCTTCTGCGGATTAGCTGTGTCACATGACATGTGTCACTCTGAAACCTGTACCTCAGTTTCCCCATCCGTAGAATGATGTGACAACCCAAGCCGGCATACCATCGTTTCCAATGACACTCTTTATACGTATTATTGTGCCTGTGCATTTTATCCACAGCAGGCACCTTGGCTACACAGGATTACTTCAGAATAACCAGAACCTTCTCTCCTTTCATGGATGAAATGAGAAAGGGCCTTCCCTCACAAAATGCCAGGGCACAGAGAGCATTCACAGCTTTGCAAGACAGAACAGGCTCACACCCCCTGTGCCAGGCACTGGGGGCTGCACAGAGTCTCTGGGGACCCTGGTGGGGCAGACTGGGACGCTAGCCCTGCCTGAAAGTTTCTTCCCCCTCACCTACAACAACCCACAGGAAGGGCGGCCTCCGTGTGCAATCCTGCAAGCCTCAGGACCGTCCTTCCAAATGGATGGGGATCACGGCACAGTCACGTAACTGAGGCCCAGTGTTCGTTTTTGTTTATTCCTCTGGTTTCCGGTCAGTCTGTTCCTTAGTGGGGCGTGGATGTTAGTGGATTAGTTGTAGCACCAAACGAGAACTGGTTTACTCAGAGCTGCAAGAGGGGCGTGTCCCTGAGAGCAGGAGGAAGGGAAGGCGTGTGAGGTTCCCAGCGTGCACAGCGGGGCTTCCTCACCAGCCGCAAGCAGAACCCTGGCAGGTGCCTGTGACACCTGCTCCCAGGGAGCACCCCGTCACCTGCAGCACGTGCGAGGGGCACAACTGTGTCCCCCCAAATTCCTGGTGAAGTCCTTACTCGCAGGAACTTAGAATGTGACTGTATTTGGAGACAGCGTCTTTGAAGATGTGATGACACTAAGGTGAGGTCACTGGGGTGGCTCTGACCTTCCCTTATAAGAAGAGGAAACGTGGACACACAGAGACCCCAGGAGTGTGTGTACACAGAGACCCCAGGAGTGTGTGTGCACAGACCACGTGAGGACCCTGGGAGAAGACGGCCACCTGCCAGCCAAGGAGAGTCCTCGGAATGAAACCAACCTGCTGACACCCTGATCTTGGACTTGCCTACCCTAGAACTGTAATTTCTGTTGCATAAGCTCCCCGTGCGTCTATGCTTTTATGCGGCCCCACCAGACGAACACGAGGGGTCCTGGCACGCTGGCTCGGACACGTGTCACCCCTCCCTACAGGGCAGCATCCGGTCGCACTCGCTATGACCCAGTGCGGGCAATCGACATGGCCTTCACAGCTCACCTCGTGGGGCTGAATCAAGTGCAGACAGACGATGGTTCCCGCCAGCGCTGTTTGTGGCCGGCCCAGCATGACAGCCATCGTCCGAAGCGTGAACTCGGTCTCGGGCTTTCAGCCCCCTCACCGACCCCCGTCCTGGGCCGGCCCCCAGCACAGCGTGTCTCAGGCCATCCGTACCTGCTCCATGAACACGATTAAGGATTCCCGATTGTTCTCCCACTCCTCGGGCAGCTCGCTCTCGTGCGGATACTTGTCACAGCCCACGTAGATGGACAGCTCGAAGCAGTTTGTGTGAAGGTAGCTGAAGTCGTTGAGACCTGCCGAGCCAACCGACACCATGGTCACTGAACGGTGCTCAGAGTGGCAGGAGGGAGACGGCAAGAACGTTCAAGAATGGGGCTCAGAAGACTCCATTTGAACAGGGACGTATCAAGCCCCTACTACAGACCGCAGATGACAGCAAACGCGAGGGAAGGGGATGGAAGTAGAGGGGAGGACACGGCCGGGATGGTTTATGGGGAAGACAGGCATATACAGGAACATCTCTGACAAGAGGAGGACTCAGATTCTGTTTATTAAACTCAGAAATAGCTTAAGATACGATTTTTATGTTTTTTAAGTGTTTTTATTTTGAGACAGAGAGAGCGCTCACACACGGGCATGCATACACTCATGCTGATGGGGAGAGAGAGGGAGAGAGAGAGAGAGAGAGAGAGAGAGAGAGAGAATCCCAAGCAGGCTCCACACTCAGCACAGAGCCCAATGCGGGGCTTAATCTCACGACTGTGAGATCATGACCTGAGCCGAAATCAAGAGTCGGGATGCTTAACCGAGCCCCCCAGTCGGTTTTAGAATAATATATAGTTTTAGGATATATATAATTGTAGAATAAAGTGACATGAGTTAACAATATGGGTTCTAAGCGTTTAAGTTTCTCTCTACGGTTAGGCTGCCCCGAGCTGGCCGTTTGCCTCCATAATCCACACCAACAGCTATCCCTACAACCCTTTGCTGAGTGCCACCCATAAGGCCAGGACCTGTGGTCAGCACTCTGTATCCGCTGACCACAAGCCCGGCAGAGAGGGAGGCAGCAGAACACAATTCTACAGACAAGAAAAATGAGGGGGAGTACAGCAATGAAATGTATGCAGGACCAGGTCTTGGAAAAGAGCCAGGGTCAGGCTTTGAACCTAGATGTGAGTGATGCCAAGACCTTGCTCTGAGAACGTGACTGTATTTGAAACAAGCATCTCTAAAGACGCGATGAAGTTAAGATGCAGTCATTAGACCTCCAGAGCTTGGCCGGAGGGGGCTGGAGGACAAACACCCCCACCCACTGAGCCCGACGGCAGATGCACTTTGCGCATCCTGACGCCATTGCGACAGGACGGGAAGCGCCCAGCCCGGCACGGAGTCAGTCTCTGCACTGGGGTCCTGGGGCTGCTGTGACAAATGACCACAAACTGGGGGGCTTAACACAGCACAAATGTATCCTCCCATACTTCTAGAGGCTGGAAGTCCAAAATCAAGGAGAGGGTTGGCAGGGCTGTGCTCCCTCCCAAGTCTCTAAGGGAGGAAACTCTCTTGCCTCCTCTAGCTTCTGGTGGCCCCCGGCTCGTGGCCACGTCACCCCAATCTCTGCCTCTGTCTTCACATGGCCTTCTCTGCTGTGTCTTCTCTTCTGTCCCTTATGAGGACATTTGTCAATGATTTAGGGCCCATCCAGGTAACCCAAGATGACCCCACCTTGAGACTTCTAACTTAATTACACTGGCAAAGACCCAGTCTTCAAAGAGGTCATAGTCACAGGTTCCAGAGGCTACGAAGCAGGGATATATTACTTTCGGGGTGGGGGAGGAGGGGTCACCATTCAACCCACTACAGCACCCAATATTTGCAAAGTGAACAAATGAATGTTAGGGGGCATTAAGCTCTTTCCAACATGTTCGTCTTGGGGGAACAGGGTGATCAGGAAGGACAGGGCGCAGCTATGACCTGTGTGACCCCAGGCGGCACACGCCCAGCAGGAGGCCCCTGCACGAGCTCCCCTCGTGGGTTCTGAGGGCCAGGACTAAGAGATCAGAGGTCGGGTGCACTGGGTTTCCCTACAGTGACTGAGCAAAGGAGCAGGTCCCGCTTGTCAACCAGCCTTGGTGCTCGCCACGCGTCTTCCCTCCCTCCCGCCTCCTCCCGCCGTCACGCTCAGTAGGAAGACCGGATTAAAAGTCGGGGCCCTGGGTATGTTATCAATCTGCTGCCTAATCGATTGCTCAAGTCACAGCCAAAACGGCACTCAGCATCCAGCCACTCTCTCCGGCGGGTTCCAGACGTGAACCGGTCACGTGTCACCAGATTAGCTTCTGACCACGTTTGTGATAAAACGAGGACAGGGACAGAGAGCTGAGGTATGGAAGGAGTGGGCCTGCGCCACATTAACGGAACATCCTTCGCGGGGGCCTGGTCTGGTTGGAGAGGGTTGGTCAAAACGCCACATCGACTCATTCACTCGAACCCGAAGTGTGGAGTTACAAGAGGGCACGGCAGGCCCGACGAATGCCATGTTCCCTGGTTAGCACAGGGAGGACACGCTGAGATGGCCGAATGCCGCTGTGCGCGTAACATTTTCATTACCCCCTATCTTTGAAGCCTTGTTGGTACGGAAATGAATCAGTGCCACGTACGAAACTCTGGAGTGGGTCTGCCACCTTGCAATGTGCCTTCGAAGCACTCTAAGTGCCAGCAGAGTCGGTGAGATGCTGAACGGCCAGGAGAAGGGTGCAAAAGCTTGAACCCGGCCACCTCTGCTGCTGACTTCTGGCCCGTGAGCTGAGAATACTCCTTGAGGAATGGCTTCGAAAGCAGAACATGTGGGCAAGGAGCTGGGGCACGACCCACACAGTCCCCACAAACCCCGTGTCCCTGCCGGGTGGGCGAGACGTTCCTCTCTTCGCCTAGAACCCTAGTGTCACGGCTTCTACGTGGAGCACGGAGCCGTGCGTCCCGTAAGGCCCGTGTGCCTGTCGCCAACTCCGCCCGTCCCTCATCGCGGGGCAGGGGAGGCAAGATGGCAGCCCAGGAACAAAGGGGCTCTGACATCGCTCTGGACTGGAAACACACACACACACACACACACACACACACACACACACACACACGGCAAGCGATGTGTGTTCCGAGCTTCCCCGAAGCCTGCTCTCCACCGCCCCATCTCCGTCAACTAAGGCCTGTCAGTCACCGCTAATGAGTGAACAAGATCCGAACAAAAAGCTGGAGTGGAGGGGGAGGGGGAGGGAAGGAAATTAGAAGTCACATTTCATTAATCTACAGCGAGATGAATCGGCACACTTCCCCACACCGCCGGGAGGAAGCGGGATGAAGGCTCGAGCCGCCACGTGGCTCTGCACACAAGTCCCTGAAATAACGGAAAATCTAACTGATAGGGAAAAAGCAAATGCTGCCTTCGTGGTTGTTGTGTGGCGGCCAGCTTTTCGAAACGTGACTATTGACCTGGCGCGGACAAATCCGGCCGGGTCCGGGCCGGATTTAGACACCGCAGCCATGAAAAATAAACAGATACTTCGCGTAAAGGTGGCTGTGGGTTTCTGGGGCTAGAACTGGAAAAAGCAAGAATGGTTTGTGGCCGCGAGAAGGTTGTCTTGCTCGACAGGGATCTGCCTTTATGTGCTTTTTATTCTGTGTAGGGCAAAACTACGATGGGGATAAATAAAATAGCTCTGTGGGGGAGGTCACCAAGAAAGAAATGGCAAGATTTCTGTACCTGTTAAAAAGTGGCCACAGGAACAAATCTATTTACTACTTGGAAATTTTTCTTTTCCCAAGCACGGACACGTCCCTGAAAAGTACGTGAAGGCGGATACGGGCAAGAGTCACGGCTGCGTGCTTCTGATCGGTTACACAGAGAACACACCCGCACCCACACTCGCACCAGCCCCCACGCGAGCCTCACAACAGCCCCAAAGGGCCTATCACCTTCATCGTTCGCCGTGCCCATTTCACAAATGGGAAATATGGGGGTCAGAGAGGGAAAGTAACTTGCCCAGGGTCACACAGCATCTGAGTGATGAAATGGAATTTGAATCCAGGTCCACTTGACGTGGGATATTTTTCAAATTCATCACTGGGTTGACCACCCCTCCCCCCCAGAGTCAAGAAAATAGGCAATGACCATTCTGCTTGGGGTCCTGCCATCCCAAAGCTGAGGGACCTTAGGGAACGTGACATCCTCACCCTTCCACATTTGGGAGCCCTGGGCCGGGGCAGCCTGGACACAGCAAAGAAAGCTTATCCTGAAACTGGGACTATGGCGTCCTCTGGGACTGATGTGAAGGAATTCCCAGAGTCCCTTCTGGAAGCTTCTCTGGTCCTGTGCGGATGCCAGAAGCAATACCACCTATTCCCTGCATCGTATGCAGTCGGGCTTCGACCAAAGGCTCTGCTGTGCCTGGGAGGCCGGTCTACTGACCTCCAGAAGACAGGAGATTTGTGAAACAGCGATCACACCATGTCAGGCCTCAGGAAACACCTGCAGCGTGGAGTCGCTTCACCCCTGAGTGTGGGATCAACGCCCGGCCCCTCCGGGTACCCACCGCAGGGGACGTCCCACTAATGGGAACAGCTCCGGGTGAAAACACCCTGGCTCCGGTGCCAACACCAGCGTGCTGTCTGTCCCTTGGCCGGGTGTGCCTTTTGGTCCGATCCTTCATCCAAGTGTACATTTGCTCATCTCTGACCCCCTACAGAATCCGAATAGCTCAGGAGCTACGTGCGGGCCACGGGGCCAAACAGAGAGATCCCTCGTAGTCACCAGGCCCCGGCTGTCTCATTCATAAAGTGGGGAGTAGCCACAGCCCCCCAAGACCACTGGAAAGATTAAGGAGCAGTCGACGTAGAGTGCTGGCACCCTGTAGATGGCGGACCACGGTCGCTATTATACCCGTGACAAGTGATAAGGGAGGGCTGGGAGGGGATGGCCCGTGGGTCCCTCCCTGTCCGGCTCCATGACAACAGCAGGGCCGCCAGAGACTTACTTCCGGCAACGGTGTGCCAGGAGGCCCCGTTGACGGTCCCGTCCTCTTTCTGGAAGTCTTCCGTGTGGCACACCCTCCTCCTGGCGTCGGTCATGAGGCGGTGTGTGGAGGCGTAGGAGTAGGCCAGCCAGCGGAACACGTGGTCGTCGGGCGTGGGGCTGTGCTCCTGCGTCTTCCACAGGGACCGCACCATGTCGTAGGGGTATGCCACCACCAGCTCGCCGCCCTGCAGGTTCCCACCCAGCACGAAGGGGATCTTCTCCATCCAGGCTATGATGGCCCTGGTCTCCACCGCCACCTGTGAACAGGGCGAATTTACACGGGGTGAAAATGGGACGGGGACTGCTTTCTCTCCCTACCTCCCAAACAGGGGACACAGTGGAAAGAGCAACCGTTGCGCGGAACACTTTTAGCAAAACGTAGAATTTCAAAACTCCGTCTGGGGAAGACCGAGTTTTGTGGAAATCGTGGATTACACAAAAAAGATAAATCGAGGGAAGTTTTCTTTTGGTAGGAATATTCCAGTTGATGCGCGGAGGGAAAGACAGAGTTAGATTATCAATACTCGGCAAGTCCCATGAGTTAAGGGGCCAGGGATGTTCATCCACGGCCGCAAAGCACAGAGAAAGAGAAAGCCAATATGGTCTGTCCCTCGAGGGAAGAAACACCTCAGAGAGAACATCAACCCAGAATATGACCAAGCCTCCCATCCAGGGGCCGGCAGCCTATTCCTGTAAAGGACCATATGGGAAATGCTTTAGGTTTGGAGGGCTCTGTGGTGTCTGTCCCAACTACTCAACTCTGTCCTTGTAGCCAGAAGCACCAGAGACGATACGCAGATGAACGTGGCTGTGTTCGAATAAAACACAAAACACTTACGCAAACAAGCCTGGGCAGCAAGAGGCCCACCTACGGGCTGTAGTTCGCCAACCCCTGTTCTGGGGAGCCTAGTCTGGTCTCGATCTCTCTGCCAGTTTACAGAAAGCAGAAGAAGAGGTTACGTGACATGGCAGGTATTCAGTCGGCAGCACCCAGGCAGTGGGAAAGGCTACAAGATGATGTAATCTGCTTGCTTATAACTTAGTTGTTAGAAGAGAAGCAGCGACGCAGGCAAGAGGATAAAAGACAGCAAGCGAAATGGCAGAAACCTACAGGGTAGGGGAGACTTGAAAGACGCAGCCCTCAATCACGATGAGGGCCCTTTAGTTGGCTCCTGATTTAAACCAACTATGAGAGAGAGAGAGCGATGGAGAATGATAATAGGGAAAACGTGAACACTGACTGGATATGTTATAATACCAAGGAATAATTTATTTTGATATGATAATGGGAATCATTTATTGGTTTTAAAAGAGACCTGAAGCTTTTAGAGATACTTACTGAGAGGTATTTGCAAATGAAATGATACCACACCTGGGATTCGCCCCAGTAATTCTGGAGAGGGGGAGAAAGTGGGTACAGATGTAGATGGAAGGTGAATCGACAGGCACTGAAGTTGAGATGCACATGGGGACCCTTAGAGCTTTCTAATTTTCTATGAATGGCATTTTTTAATGACAAAAAGTTGAAGGAAGGAAAGAAGGAAGGGAGGGAGAGAAAGAAAGAAAGAAAGAAAGAAAGAAAGAAAGAAAGAAAGAGAAAGAAAGAAAGAAAGAAAGAGAAAGGAAGGAAGGAAGGAAGGAAGGAACGAAGGAAGGAAGGAAGGAAGGGAAAGAAAGAAGGAAAAAAAGAAAGAAAAAGAACTGACAACATTAGATGCAAAAATTAGGTTGACAGGGTCAAATACTGCTCATGAATCTAACTATTTACCCTAAGTTACTGACTCCTATGAAGATAGTCCCAGCAAAATAAAGTCTGATAATGGAAAAGAAATAAACACTGGAAATGGCTTAACTGTGCAGCACAGAAAGTTGATTAAGGAATGAAATTGACTTGATAGGATTCATTAAGTTTTGTTTTTGTTCCTGAACACATCAGGAGCCCTGGAATGGACTAATCATAGAACTTAGCTCAATACACCATATCATCATTGGTCCACGCTTGTCCTTCTCTGTATTTTAATATAATAAACACCCGTGAACCCACCATCCATGCCCCAAACCAGATCTTATAGACAATTTCTGTGTAATATGTGATTCCGTCCCTCCCTTCCTCCTGCTTCCCACTCAGAGGCAACCACTGTATCCTCAATGATATACGATTCTTATTCTTTCTGTTTTGTTTTATCCTGTATGTGTATACCTAAAAATAGATCATGTGGTTTCACTTGCTTTCGATCTTAAAAAAGAGGGGGTAGCCACACTGTTGTCTTCTGCAATTTTTTTTTTTTAAATTTAATGTTTGTTTATCTGGAGAGAGAGAGAGAGAGAGAGAGAGAGGAAGGGGCGGAGAGAGAGAGAGAGAGAGGGAGACAGAGAATCGGAAGCAGGCTCCAGGCTCTGAGCAGTCAGCACAGAGCCTGACGCGGGGCTCGAACCCATGAACCGTGAGACCACGATCTGAGCCGAAGTCAGAGGCTTAACCGACCGAGCCACCCGGGCGTCCCTGTCTTCTGCAATGTTTTCATCTCAATGCATGTTTCGCGATGCACCTGCACTGTAGCATAAAGCTACAGCTCAGTATTCTCCACTTCGGTGCTAAGATCTCATCATTGCTCTGTCCTTGTGATGATGGGCATACAGGTAACGTTCAAGTTTTTGCTGTACTGGACAGTGTTGCTTCCAACTTTGTTCTGGCATACACGTGCTGAAATGTATCTTGCATAAGTCAGCAGAAGTGGAACCGCAGAGTCCTAGCATATACACATGTTCCACCTTACAAGATAACCAAATTATTTTCCAAAGTCACTGTGCTCATTTATACTTGCACCCACAACGCATAAGAGATCCACTGGCCCCAAGTCCTCTCCAACGCTCAGCTACTGTCAGACTTCTTAATTTGCCAACCAGTGGGTGTAAAATGTTCTCTTTTTTCTTTGCATCCCTTAGTACTAGTAAGGCTGAACATATTTTCATGTTTATTAACCATGTCTCCTCTGCCACACATTGCCTCTTCCTATCTCTTACCCCTTTTTCTATTGAGCAGTTTATATTTTTCTCATCTGTTATTCTTTATGTCTCTTGAATTTTTAATTCTTTTCCGGTTATTTAATTTGCAAATAATTTCTCTCAGTTTTTAGCTTCCCTCTTACAGCTTTTAAATTTTTGATGAGCAAGCTTTCTTATTTCGATGTAGTTGAGTTTATTAATCTTTTATTTTATGATTAATGTCATTTGGAATAGCTTTCTTCACTCTGAAACTAGCTATCTATATGACAAAGTTTCACTGAGAGATTTTACCGAGAGTGATTATTAAATCTTATCAAATGATTCTTTCTGCAGACAAATCACTTCATATTTTTTTCTTGTTTTTCTATCATTTCATTGATTCTGCTCTTATGTTTTGATCACAATCTTTATACATTGTGTGTGTGGGGGGGTGGTTCTTCTGTTATTTGTTCACTAGTTTCTTTAGCTCATTTTTAGCCTCTCTTCTTTGGAATATAATCATGAAAAGACACAAAACTCCAAAAAACACAGGAGGGTTTTGCAACTTTCCACAAATTTTGATATGTAATATTTTCATTATCTCTGTGTTCTAATTATTTTTTAGTTGCTAGTATAATCTTTTTCTTTGACCCATTATTTAGAAGTTTTAGGGTTTTTTTTAATTTTCTAAATACATGCTGATATTTTCATTAACCTTATTACTGTCTTCTAGTTGAACTATATGATGGTGAGAGCATCACGGTCTGACTTCTACTCTCCGAAACTGGTTGAGATTTCCTTTACAGCCCAGAGCATCATCTGTTTTTGAAAATGCTCCAGGGATTACTAAGGAGACTATGCATTCTCTAACGGGGGTGTACGATTCTTTCAGGTCCCTGTGTCAAGCCTGTCGACTGCTATTCAAGTCTTTACTTTGCTGACTTCTTATCTAACATAGCCACAACTGAAAAAAGGTGTTAGTGGTGGCAGATCTACGTAATTCTCCCTGTGTTTCCAAAACACAACAAGCTCAAAAAGCAAAATTCTGGTCTTAAAGCAAAGACTGAAATCCCAGGGTTTCTAGGACTGTGCTGAACTTGTTCCTGGTCGCTCATGGCCACAGGGCCAAGGACGCTGGCAACCATATTCCAATTCTGGTCCAAGAGTTCCAAAATTATAACATCATTTGAATTCCCAGCTTTACCAGGCATCATTAGTACGCTAGTTTAAAAAAGACGGGGGGTGGGGGATGGGAGGAGGGGATTGTGCAGGATGGAATTAGGATATAGGAGAGAGAATACAGAAGACTCAGAAGCCCTGAATCCTTTACCCCCAGTAAGCTGCCCCTGGGCATCCGAATTACCCCACAGGGCATCGCCACGGTCTGTCCAACACTGCTTGACTGGTTGCTTCTTGAAGGTCTAGATAACACCACCCTGTGCATCCCTAAGTGAGGCAACCATGCTGGTCTTCTTCCGCTGTGGGCTAGAGCCCCGAGGCAGAACAGGGGGGCTGCCTTCTATCCACTCATCATTTCTCTTTGGATTCCTCAGGAAGAGAAGCCAGTGCTTGGTATCTGTATTTTCTTTTTTACCTTGCAAAGTGCTGCCTAAAACACAGCATTTTCCAGCCTTCCTCATGATAGGTTGATAACATGTTTTGACTAAATTCTGGCCAATGAGATCAAGACATAAGTATTATGTAGCAATTCTGAGAATGCCTCTTAAAATTAATCAACGAGGGGCGCCTGGGTGGCGCAGTCGGTTAAGCGTCCGACTTCAGCCAGGTCACGATCTCACAGTCCGTGAGTTCGAGCCCCGCATCGGGCTCTGGGCTGATGGCTCAGAGCCTGGAGCCTGTTTCCGATTGTGTGTCTCTCTCTCTGCCCCTCGCCCGTTCATGCTCTGTCTCTCTCTGTCCCCAAAATAAATAAACGTTGAAAAAAAAATTAAAAAAAAAATTAATCAATGAGTCTGAAAGGAGGATCTTTATTGGTTTGTTTTTTTCTTAACTCTTTCTCTCCTCTTCCTTCACAGACACGACAGCTGGAGTACCGACTGCCATCTTAGATGATGACCTTGAGAATGAAAGTCACACGCTAACATGGTGGAGACAGACAGAGGAGTCCTTGGTTCCTGATGATCACAGGGCTTCCGTTTGGCTGCTTGGCTTCTGTCATCTACCTTTAGGGTCTTTCCATGTGAAACACAAACAAACAAACACCAAAAAAACCCCAAAATGTCTATCTCATTAAGCTATCATCATTTTGGTTTCTCTGTCGTTCCCACTGAACTTACCCCTAACGCAAGGCAGATCTCTTGAAGGACACACACACTCAGAGGTCAGGGGTAGAGGGGTAGATTACTATGGGCAGGGCAGGCAATAAAAGGCACGCGAAATTTTGTGCAAAGTCTTTCTTCTACAACACGCCCTTTGTGAAAGAACACCTGAAAATTCGAGGAACGCCTTTCTCATTCAATGCATTTTTCCTTCCAAAGAAGCACAACGTGAAATAATCCACGAAGACTTATGAAAATAAAAATAAGGTATCTCAAGCAATCCGGAAGGACTGCGGCCAATTCCAAAGCAACTCCATGGCACCACCAGAGCTCAGGGCAACAAGGACGGTAATGAACGCGCACGATGCAGGGGAAGGGTGCGGGGCGCTCTTTGTTGTCGGAGCCCTGTGTGGTTGTAAAGAAATATGATTCGATGATTTCTCTTTTATGAAGAAGAGCTGAAAATACCAACGTTAAAGGTAGTTGCTCTCTAGCACACTTCCCCACTTTTGGAGAAAACATGACAGGAAAACTGGCGTCGTCTTGCTCCTAAATGTCAGATCCTCTACCAACGCCAGTGGGTGTTCACCGTGGCCTTCCTCGGCTCTGCCCGTGGGGTATTTTTACTCACCGTGGCATTTTCAGACAGAAACCACTCAGGGATCGCAATGTAGTGATTGGGAACTTTCCTCGGGAGATTCTGTCGGTCCTCTGCCTCCCAGAGCAGCGTGTTTAGGTCAGGAAAGTTGTTGTTGATGTCGATGCCATCGTGGGTCCAGCGCCCCAGGGACCAGCCGCCCAGCTCCGAGCCCTGGGAGACAATTCCAAACGTGAGGGACCCACAGGGCTTCTGGACTCTTCTCACACAAGATGTCTCTATCTCTATGTCCGCCACCCATCCCCATCTGGGTGGATCTCTAAGCCTCTACACATCGTCTGGCCCAAAGATGGAGCCCAGAAGGGAACACTGAAGCATCTTCTATTACGACTTGGTGGGTGGTGAGTAATACAGCCAAATCCCTCCAAGAGGGAGGGCATCACCCCTGCCACATGGCCGAGCTCAAGAAGTATTACGCCCCTTCCTCCTCCTTCCCTCCCATGAAAGCTTCTAGAATGGTCAGATGAGGAACTCTGAGGAGGGATGACTCTAAGAGTCTGGCGTTGCAAAATCAACCACCACCACCGCGTCAACGGATTCTCTCTGCCGTGCCCACGAGTCCGGCTCACAAACCCCTAACCACCTGGCCTTGGCAAATCTGGGACTGAGAACCCCTCACCAGCTCTGCACCAATAAACGCAACCCAAAGTCTGTACTGTAAACGTTCACGGGACGGGTACCCAGTACCGTTTCCCATTTTATTCCCAGATAATACCAACAATCCTCTACATATAATTCTACAGTATGTATAGTCGGTGACCTACCACATTCTACGTCACAGTTAGAGCCTGAAATATAAACAACGGATCAGAATCACACACACAACTCTCCTCGGAGCACTGGCAAACAGGCAATAATAGAAGTGAGGGCCTGCCCCGATGCTGCGCTCGAACCGTGCTCAGTGTTCTCTTTATTCTAGTCTACTGCTGTTAGTGAAAACGTGCCAAATATCATCCTTCACGTTCACTGTTCCCACTCGCGGGCGGGTCTCAGACCCCCACGGTTCTCAATCCCCGCTTTGCGTCTTTCATACACCCGCCGGGTTCCCCTGGCTCAGCAGGGAGACGCTCAAAGGAAAGCTAATGATGCGTGAGTGAGATAGGCGCTCTGCCGGCGGGGGCCTCGCCGCTGCCCTGGGCACGCGGGGCGGCATCATTACCCCTTCATAGGCCTTCTCGTAGCCATCGGGGTTGAGGGAGGGGAGGATGTGGATCCGGGTCTCCTCCACCAGGTGGACGATGCGGGGGTTCCCGGCCAAGTACTCCTGACACAGGAACTGCAGCAGCAAGAGCATCAGCTCGCGGCCCAGCACCTCGTTGCCGTGGGCGCCCGCCATGTAGTGGAACTCTGGTTCGCCTTTACTCCAAGATGGGAAAAAACACAGGTTCATATGGATGCTTCTAGCAAAACAGCCCTTACCATTTAGGGTAAAAAAAAAAAAAAATCCCTGACAAATGCTTACAATTTTACCCTATCTCTTCTTACAAAAACCCCCGCCCCAGGGCGCCTGGGTGGCTCCGTCGGTTGAGCGACCGACTTCGGCTCAGGTCACGATCTCGCGGTCCGTGGGTTCGAGCCCCGCGTCGGGCTCTGGGCTGACGGCTCGGAGCCCGGAGCCTGCTTCGGATTCTGTGTCTCCCTCGCTCTCTGCCCCTCCCCCACTCATGCTCGGTCTCTCAGAAATAAACAAACATTAAAAAAAAAATTAAAAAAAAACAACAAATACCCCCTCCCCAAATTGTATCAGTACCATTTTTTTTTTTTTAATTCGCCAATAGTCAGGTATAGAAGAAAACGTGTAGAAAAATCATAGATGACACCAGCCCCTGGGGAATGGTGTTTATTCTTATTTAGCAAGAAAGGGTAAAGTAGCACAGGGCTTAAGGTTTAAAATTTACAAATTAAACACAAGCCAGAGCAATTATTTTTCTCTTTGGGGAGGCAATCGTTCTTCTTAAGAGAAGTTCCTATTAAGTCTTACAAGGACACACAGATGAATGAATAGAAGCGGAAAACAGTTCAGCAGGGGAAACAGGCACTGACACAATTCTACAAGGGGGCTGCCTTTGAGTTTTTCCCTTCTAACAGCTCAGCTCTCCCGGTGTTGTGTTTATCAGTGCCGGGCATAAGCTGACAATATTTCTCCTTCTCTCACCGACAAAGCTACTGCTTTTGAGGAAATGTGATTTTACCCGCAGATAAAGCCCTCACCCTTTCAAAGAAACTTCTAGGAGGAACTCCTGAAATAATGATGAATTTAGAGCTGAATGAAGCAGACCGGTCCCAGACTTAAATATCGGTGGGTTTCTAAAGGACTCGCGGATTTACCAACAAGAAAACCCAGAGAAGTCCCTCTGACCCAGAGGAGAATCCGGGTTCGGGAAAAGGCTGAAAATAGGAAATGTGTGAAAACAGAATTGAGATTTACAAAGACATTTAGGGGACCTCCTCTCACTTGAGCCCTTAATGACCAGGGAGTCCAGAATTTTCTTCGATAAAAGGATTCTGTCCTGTCTCTGGCCACTGTTTTCTTTGGTTAGTGTGACTGGTCTCAGAGCTGGAGGGCAGAATTAAATGTGGTTCATTTGGAGAAAAGAAAGGTATCTCTTGCTTAGATGAGCCAACAGCCCATATCACAAGGTAAGAGGTTCACAGAACCAAAATTTGCAGAATCTGCCTATGTGAGGGCGGTGCATGGACAGCTCCTGGCCTATTTCATGAATGTTCTCGCAGGGGTGAACCATCTCCTTGCTCTTTAAGAAGGCACCAGACAGGGAGGGACAGGTGCATCACTGAGGGGCCACCTCACCGACTTCGTGCTCCCCAGGGTGGTCGGAGATCTCCACGGCATACAGCTTCAGGCCCTGGTGGCTCTTGCCAATGTTGTAAATTCTGGTGATGTTGGGGCACATTTCATTCACGACCTTCATCAACTGAAAAGCAAAATGCAGTTAAGGCTCTGAGCAACGATGGCTATGCATTCATGGCGAAGGGCTTCCCAAGACGGCCACCTGCCATTCCCCTCCCACGGCCCCCCTGCGTGCCCTCCTCGCCCCCCAACACCAGCGCTATCCCTTCTGCCTGGAATGTTCTCCTCCAGTTGTGATTATCACCTCCCTTGAGGATGGTATTACCATTTTTACTGTGGTTTCCTGTGTTCTTGTTGTTTCCTCGCTAGACGACAGATCCTTTAAGGGACACACTGTGCCTTGCATCTCCCTATCCCTGCCTAAATAAATATTTATTACTGAATATCAATTTTTCTCATAACTTAATGAGCACCTTTGATGTCAGGCTGAGGAAAGGGACAGTGCTCCCACCCCCCTGGAGCTCACGGTGCAGCAACAGAGGGTAGTCATTTGATGACCCAATTCACGGGTGCCAAATGAAGGGGTCCAGAGAAGCCATGATAATGGGGGTCATGTGGTTACAAGGGGGAGGAAAGTGGACCTTGACAAGGAAATGCAAGGACGTGAAATAGATATGCGTTATTCCCTGGATTTTACTTTTTTAATTGTTTTTAAAAGATTTTAATTTTTTTGAGCGAGAGAGAGACAGAGACAGAGACAGAGACAGAGAATCCCAAGCAGGCTCCACACTCAGTGCAGAGCCCGGCACAGGGCTCGATCCCACGACCCTGGCTGGCATCATGACCTGAGCCAAAATCAAGAGTTGGATGCTCAACAGACTGAGCCCCCCAGGCACTCCTGAATTCTACTTCTGAAGTCAAGGTCGTTGGATGAACAGCCTCAGTGGGAGGGGGCGGGGGGAGCTCCAAGCTGCCAAAGGAGGTAAGGAAGGCTCATCTGCTGGTCACAGGAGCACAGGCTGCCCTTACGAGAAAGGAGAAGCTGATTATAAAGGACCGTTGTCCGCAACAAGGCCAAAGCAGAAACTCACTGTCAGTGGAGGACCAGCATGCAAGGGACCCATAGCTTCTACCCCCGTCACCATGAGGGATACATACATCGTGCAGGGCTGACGCGGAACCACATGCGTCACACCCCGTCTTCCCCAGAAGCACAGTAATAATATCACTAATAATGTCAACGATTCTATTCGTCACGCATCTGTGTCCTCACTGAATTTCACGATCACGACCGCCAGGGGAAGTAGGTAAGGCAGAGGTGATTGTTCCCCCTCTACAGATACGGAGACTGAGGCTCAGAGAGACACTGAGCGATCTGCCCGGGGTCACCCAGCCGGTACCAGATGTGGCCAGGGCTCTGGACTCCGAGGGCTCTTCTCTGTCCTTGAAGGCGGAGCAAAGCAATCGACACCGGCACATCTCTGCGGCCCGTTTGGTCAGCGGCACACCACGACCAGGGTGAAGACGGCTGCGGCGCAGCCACCATCCGAGTCGGGGCCCCACGCGCCAGTCCCTGCAGACTGTAGTCCCCCTCAGCTACCATCATCATCCTCGGCAAATCCTGATTGGCACGTGATCCACTGGCTTGGTTCAGATCAATGACTATTTCTGCACTCGGGTCATCCTTAACTGGGCAACAAACACCGCCATCCAGCACAGAGCCTGGCTGTCGTTTAGGGCCTACCCTCCTCCCCCGTTCAATCAGAGACAGAAGCAATGTGCCACCTGTGTTAGAGATCATGACCTCGACGCCAGAGAAGAAGAAGAACCTCCACCTTCCGCTGAACACACACTTCGCCGTGGAGACATCGCTCCGTAGGGCACGGCCTCGGCCAGGACTCAACAGTCACCTCTTCATACCCCGCCCATCACAGTGTTTTCGTACCGGCCACCCTCCCTCCTCGTGCTGTGGTGTCACGGGCACCCCCTTCTACACACGGCAAAGAGGACACGGGCATGTAAAGAATCTCCTTCATGAAGGTTCTTTACAATTCCCTCTGCACAGAGAGAAATTCTCTCTGAAATGCCAGGGAGGTGCCTCCAGCGGCCACCAGCCCCGTTAAAGACCTGGCAGGGGGTCCACCTTGCTTATTCCTGAAAAGGGTCAAGGATGTCTTACTGGAGTTGGAGTCTTTTTTTTTGTTGTTTTGTTTTGAGAGAGAGAGAGGGCACCAGTGAGGGAGGGGCAGAAAGAGAGAAGCAGGGCTCACCCTATATGGGACTCAAAATCACAAACAATGAGATCATGACCTGAGCCAAAGTCAGGTGCTTAACCATCTGAGCCATCCAGGCACCCAGAGCCTTGATGGTTAATGTGACAATAAGGACTAGAATTTCTTCCTGGCCTGAGAGCATGCATTCTTAGCAGGGGTGACATCACCCCCCCCCGCCCCCGGAGGTGAAAACTGGTCATCAGGGGCTAAACATCTTCCAGATCACGATGCTTTGTGGCTCTCCAGAGCTCAGCGCTACCCAACAAAGTCTTACTCATCAGTATTTCATATAATGGGTGGAGGATAATTGAGACAGTGTCTAAAAAGCCTCCTGGGGTGGGGGGTGACAATGAAACCAGGCTGAGAACGATCAGCTAGAGAGCGCCTAGCTTTGCAGAGTCCTAGCTTCATCAAGACTCTGCCTCCTCACCCCAGATGGGAATATGCTTTGCCAACCTCGTATCTACTGAATCCTAGGTTCTGCTGCTTCCCTCCTCTGCAGGAAGCAGAACTCGAGGCCCCTCCTCCAGAAATTCAGTTTCCAGCAATATACAAGAAGGGGCTTCTGCATAAAGGATGGGACAGTGACATGCTCGGTGGCACTTGCTGTGATGCTGCAGCCTTTCCCCGGGGGCACAAAGCTGGGAGATGTCCAAGCGCTCCAGGGCAGGAAGGCTGAGCATGCCGTTCCCACTCCCTGGAACGTTCTGCACCAGCATAATTACAACTATGAGGACACCATGGAAAATGGCCCGTGATCCAATATTCACTGAGGAAAGCAGGGCCAGATTACAACCATCCTCTGATCAAAATCGTAGGAATTCTGCGAGCACAGAAGCTGAAGCACTGGATGGGGACGGGGGAAAGATACAACTGGCTGATTCTTTAGGGTGTGGGTTCAAGGAGGACTGACCTTGAGCCTTGGGGTTTGCATTTGGTGCTGATGCAAAATGGCTCCTCCAATGAATTAAAATGGTTTTGAAAAGGGCGGGGGGAGAAGGGAAAAAGCCCTCTTCCACCAGCTTTCTTCATTTGCCTGAGAAACAGACACTGCATCTGGTCCCCTGGAGAAGGAACCCAGAGGGAGGGGGAGGGACGGAATGGCAGTAGGAGCATCCCACGGGTGAGGAGGTGGGCTCGTCCAGATCTGCAGGCCGTCAGCCACCGTCACCCACCCCCAGGGTAGGCTCGGCCGCTGTCCCACGGCCTCGTGCCCCTGCCCCACCGTCGCTGCCCTGGAAATCAATGCCACCAGCTGGCCACCTTCCAACCCATGTCTCTGTATCACAGCCCACTTACGGTCAGCCTATTCAAACTTCCTGTGCATCGAGACCTGGCTGCACCACATCCCAAACCAAAGTCAGATCATCAACCGTTGCCTCCAGACCACTTACTTTCTCCCTTTGTGGATGGTTCCTCACCCTCTTTGGAGGCACGTCAGACCCCGCCTCTCCCCAACTCATTCCAGCAGGTGACCTAGGACTAGTCAGTCCTGCTCAGAGGAGCCTCTCTCTCATCCTTCTTCAGGCCCAGCGGCCTCTCTCCTGGGGACTGCGGCCATCCCTGCCGGTCTACTCCCCACGTGACTTCCAGGCTAATCTCCCCGAAACACTACTCGGCCACATGAAAACTTCCTCTGATTCTCAGACTCAGTGCAAAAGCTTCTCCCGGCAGACTGTTCCAGAAACATGCCATTCGCTCCTATCCCCATACCTTTGCTCTCGCTGCCTGGGGTGCCCGCCCTTCTGTCTGTCTTCACCTGCCCAAGGCTGGCCAGCGATGATAACCGACCCCATCTGCAACCAAATCCCTTCCCAACCAGGCCAATGGACCAGTCGCTTCTCCCTCCTATTCCCCAAATATCTCCCCTGGAAAGACCTCCAACGTACATATTTATGTCGTACACGTTACGAGTTTATGACAAAGTGGCAGGGTTTCTGCCCTCATGGTCCCAGATGAAGGAGGCTCATACAAACAGGTAACTCAACAGTAAGAAACCGTGACTCGCGCTGTAAAGGCAGTAGCATTCCTGGAGGGGTGAGCTCACTCACGACACCAGGGACGTGCAACCTGCTCTCTGCTCCCCCTTTCCCTCCCCGTCCCACCCTCCGGCGCTCCCCCTGTGGGAGAACAGTGCCTCATAAGTCAGTGCTCTAGAAATATTTCCTGCACACATTCTCAGCATTTTCCCCTTCCAATGCAATATGTTTTTCTATTTTCTCTTCTCTCGTCCTGCTCCACTGCTGTTTCTCTTTTTTTGTGTTTGTTTGTTGGAAATGTTGTTCTCAATACTAGGATAAACTAACATTTTTTTCCCCCGAAGTCGAGAGATTTCTATAGTAACCTCGCAGACTCCATACGGGGAATTGCTAAAAATGCTGGCTTCTTTTTCATCCCCAGGAGCCAGGAACGCAAATGGCAAATCACTTCCGGCTTGAACGCTCTTCAGGATTGATAGATGCTCCCCTGAATAGCTTCCAGGGGAGCGCTGCGGGGCCCTGGGGTCACCCAACACCACCTGCAGGGGCTGCATTCACCACTCCCCGACTCCTCTTGGCTCTACATCACCACGATGATGGTAAGCAGAATCACCCAGGGTAACAAAGCACACTCCACTAGCTCCGCTTTTCTGGAAGGGCCCCGATCTTCCACACAGAACAACTGTTTAAAGACACCAGCATGGCACCCGGGGGGCTCAGTCGGTTGAGTGTCCGACTTCAGCTCAGGTCATGATCTCGCGGTCTGTGAGTTCGAGCCCCGCGTCGGGCTCTGTGCTGACAGCTCAGAGCCTGGAGCCGGCTTCGGATTCTGTGTCTCCCTCTCTCACTGACCCTCCCCCGTTCATGCTCTCTCTCTGTCTCAAAAATAAATAAACATTAAAAAATTTAAAAAAATAAATAAAGTCACCAGCTACCCAGACTCTGTGCAATAGCTCATTTTAAGTGCATTTAGATTCACTGCTTTTGACGTTAATTGCACCAACTGAGTTGATATTTGCCTAGTTTCTGGGCTTGCAAAGATGTCCAGGGAGCGAAGCTGAGTTAACACACAAGTGCTCTGTAGAACAGAATGGTGACCAGAGTCCTCGTATAAATGCCGGAGAATGCAGAGCAGCAGGGAAGATGCACAGACCTCAAGTCCAAACACATCCTGATTTCTGAAGAACAAGACAGCAAGACCACCTCTTTAGCAAGCCCCACCTCTAAGTCTGTGCTGACAGGTGTCCAGAAGCTGTGTGTGGGCGTCTCAAATTAAATGACATTGAGACAAACTGGGGTTTCTGGGTTCCCTGGGATGAGGCGGGGAGCCCTCTCAGCTCAGCCTAATTGCTCCGACCTCAGGAATGTCCCCTGCACTGTCCCTGGGTGGCTGGCTCCTTCTCCCAGCACCCAGGGCCCCTTGCTTTGAGCCACGTTAATGTGCCCTTGGTGAATCCTTGTTCTGTAAATGTATTCATGAGGCTATCTGACTGTTCAGTCTCTTCAAACAGATTCTTAGGTATCCAAGGGTTTCTCATTCGTCAGCACCCCCTGAGTTTTCTAGCACCATGCTGGGGGCAAAGGCGGAACAGGATTTCACACGCCGAGCACTTAGCATTCAGGCTGCTCTTTTAGCCTGTCCTAATCAATGGCTGGACCCTTCCTCCTTCCAGGCCCAGTATGCAAATATTCTCCGCAGCTCAGAATTACCTGGTTTCTGTAACTAAATCTGGGGACAGTCTCAGCTGGGATTGACTTCTGCTCCTAACGGCACGAAAGTGCTAAGAGTATAAAGGCATCAAACAGTAGTTCCCAAGCCTGGCGTTACATTAGAAACCCAAGGAGAGCTTTTCAAAACTTAGACCCTCCAGACCCTTCTCCTAAGGGTTCTGCTTTAAAAAGTGGCCCAAGGTAGGGTTCAAGTAGAAGTATTTTTCCAAATTTCCCCACGTGATTCTGTTATACAGCCCAAATGGAGGATCAGGGAGTCTGAATACCAAGGGGTAGTGTTATATGTTTCCTTGGTAACTGGGTTTCCCCATCGGTAAGGGAAGGATAACAGTCCCTGCCCTCCGGGGGTGGTGAGGAGACTGACCATGTTAATGCAGGTAAATTGCTAATGTAGTAAATTGATGTAGGTCCTGCAATTACTATTATCAGTGTATTCTAGATCCTTTTCCTTCTTCAACTGCCTATGACCAACATCCACAAATCAGTGTTATCCCTTAAATGCACAGTGAGTCTTTTTTTTTTTTTAATTTTTTTTTTAACGTTTATTTATTTTTTGGGGGACAGAGAGAGACAGAGCATGAACTGGGGAGGGGCAGAGAGAGAGAGAGGGAGACACAGAATCGGAAACAGGCTCCAGGCTCCGAGCCGTCAGCCCAGAGCCCGACGCGGGGCTCGAACTCACGGACCGCGAGATCGTGACCTGGCTGAAGTCGGCCGCTTAACCGACTGCGCCACCCAGGCGCCCCGTGAGTCTTTTTTTTTATGAGAGAGAGAGAGAGAGAATGTGAGCAGGGAAGGGGGCAGAGAGAGAGAGAGAAAGCAGTCTCCACACTCATCACAGAGCCTGATGAGGGGCTCGATCCCATGACCCTGGGATCACCACCTGAGCCAAAATCAAGAGTCCGACGCTCAACTGACTGAGCCGCCCAGGTGCCCCAAACATACAGTGATTCTTAAGAACCCCTGTGTTAAATCAGAAAAGTCTGGCTTCAAATTCTGTTTCAACTAGTTGCTGCAGGGGGAGCCTGCCTCTGGTCACTGGAACCCCCAACAAGGCATTCTCAACCTACAAACTACAAGCATTTAGCGTGGCTTCAGAAAACCAAAATGATCCTTCAGATGCCTACCGCAAACACATCATCTTAATTTCTGGAAGGAAACACACACACACGCACACACACACACACACACACACAAGCAACTATGTCACAAGCATATGATACAATGCTCTTTGAGAAATCTGGACCTCACCTGGCGCATTTCCTTGTAGTTGTGGTGTTTGAAATCCAGGTCGTCGGTGGTGGTCATCTCATTCCGTCGGTGATAATAGTTATTTGGATCTGGGGACAGAAATACGATTTTATTTTATTTTATTTTATTTTTTTCAACGTTTATTTATTTTTGGGACAGAGAGAGACAGAGCATGAACGGGGGAGGGGCAGAGAGAGAGGGAGACACAGAATCGGAAACAGGCTCCAGGCTCTGAGCCATCAGCCCAGAGCCCGACGCAGGGCTCGAACTCATGGACCGCGAGATCGTGACCTGGCTGAAGTCGGACGCTTAACCGACTGCGCCACCCAGGCGCCCCCAGAAATACGATTTTAAATTCACTCACATCGTCCTATTCCTTGTGGTGGTTCTGTTAGTGGCCTGATTCGTGTGGAGACACAAGCTAATCTCTAGCTTCAGAACATAGGCACAGAGGGGAGAGAGCCAAAGTTTGAGAAGCAGCTCAGGAGTCGGAGTTAGCCAGTGGTGGGAAGTGCGGACTTAGACCCAGAATGCCTGGTTCAAATCTCCACTCTTCTGCTTAAGTGCTGTGTGATCTTGGCTAAGTCACTGGAGCAGTTTCTGCCTTAGTCTCTTCACCCCTAAACAGGGAAGAAAGGTCCTTCTCTCGTTGGTGTTTCCTTGCTTAATATTAATTGGGATCACTGATGTGCCTGGCAAACTCTCAGCACTGAATGAATGAATAAGTGAATGAATATCACCGCTATACACATGAATGGAAACTTCTGGAAGTGTGGTGCACACTATTAGTTACTCGCCCACCATCTAGTCCCTTTCCACCCTTCCTAACAGAAACCCAATGCAGTTTGGGAATCACCCCAACACTTCTAGGAAGTACACCTCATATCCCAGCTCAGGGGGCCAGTGTGACTGGTCTCAGCCAATCAGAGCACAGCATCTCCTGGCCTCTCTTACTGGTCCAGATTGAAGGGAAGGACTTTAATGGTGCAGAGCAGGAGTGAGTGAGAATCTCTCCGTGATAGAGGACAGAGAGAACCCCACGAGCATCAGGAGCCATCGAGTGACGCCACATCGGATCCCAACCAATCTCCCCTGGCACTCCCAACCGCATGAGATATCCAATTCCCTTACCCACTAAGCCGGGCGGGGGGTGGGGGGCGGGCGCTGGGGTTTCCGTTGTTGCAGCTGGAACACCCCAACAGGCATGATCAGGCTGTATTAACGCCGGTGACCCATGGAGACTGGGATTCGGAGGTCTGGGGAGAGATGTCTGCTCTTAACTTGATTCTCTACCCCATATAAATTGACTCTTTTCTTCAATCCACATAAGCCGTGTTGTTCACATAATTATGAGAACAAAGGACCCTCAGAAGAAAGGACAGGCTGGGGAAGAAGAGGAGTCAGGAGGAGGATAAGGGGGAGGGGCGCTCAGTGGGCCTGGAGGTCTTTCTCTGGACGTGACCTACAGCCAGCCCCACGGCGTCTCCAACTGGAGGATGAAGCTGGAAATCCTGGCCAGCTCCCAATGTAGAGAGAACACGTTGCTTTAGTCAGGTCGCTCTCCTACCCCAGACACCGTGTGGGCAAGGCTGGAGCCACAGCAGCTGTGGTTTGATCCAAGTGGCTCAAGGGGTGACTCCAGAGGCAGTGGCCGTGGCCATGGCGGGTGACAGAGGGATGGGCTCCGAGGGGTACCAGGCAGTGGATCCTGATTTGTGCCACCAAATGTGGTCCTCAGACCAGCACTCGGGCTGCCTGTCAGACCCAGCCCACACCTACTGAATCAGAATCCACACGTAAAAACAATCCCAGCTGATTCTACAGATCGGAAGTCTGAGGAACACTGTGTTAAAGTACCAAGCACCCCGCCAGCAGGGACAAGGCACTCGATACACGCGGCACACAGCTGCCGTCAACTGAACCAGCTGCACGATGTCTGCGTCCCCAGAACCACAGGTCGTGACGGCCATAACCGACCTTGCCAGGGTTCACTAACCATTGACTTCACGCTAGAGAACCCACTGGCTTCACGCTGGAGAACTGAGGCTGCATGCAATGAGGTGAAAATCCCATATAGACCCAAACACCAAAAAACCCAGATTTTAATACCCACCAAGGTCTGCCCATAACACCAGTAGAAACAAGGACCGCCACTGAAAGGGAATTAGAACCAGGGAGAGCTGGCATGCTGTCCAGGAAACAAAGCAAAAGCAGATGTGATCGGGTTTAGCACAGGCTCCCCAGTTAGTTTCAAGCACTCGGCTTCCAGGAGCGTGGGTTGACCACACCCTCACGCGAGCTGCCTCCCCTTGGATTTCCAAGCCTGTGTGTCTCAAAGCAAAAGGTAAGCATATTTTCCATGTTAATTTGCACTTTATTTACCCGTAGGATGCTTCCTAAGTGTGACTCCACACTCCCCAAGTCCCAGGGGCCTCTTTCCAAAACTCTTTAAAGCCACTTGGTCTTCAAACTCAAGTTAGGCCTTGAAGGTTCTTCAAAGGGTTGAAGAAAAACTCAGGACTCTAAGTGCAGACGAGCTCCACGTTTGGCAACATCATGCCCTCCTTAAGACTAATCAGTTTGCCTATGGACAAGGGTACAAGTTCCAAAAACTGTCTCAAAACCACAGGTCGGTATTTTCCACAACTTTCTACCTCCCACATTTTGAGCAAAGAATTCTTTATTTGCCCACTTACTCCGACTGGATAAAGTTTTATTGAGAACCTACGAGGAGCTCAGTACTGTAGGTAAAGAGATGGGTAAGAACCAAGCCAAGCCCTCTGGGGGCCCAGGGTCTGCACACAGAGCCAACTGGTCAAAGCCACGGTCCCCTTCTTCTTTCTGTGGACAAAAGATCCCTTCTGCCCGCGGGGAATGTATTCCAGATGGCTTGGATAAAATTGCCTTGCCCATCATGCAGAGGCATGAGTATGTGGCCAAGGTCCAGCCATGAAACACGTGTCCCTGTACCCACAGTCACTGGCTCAGAGGGGATCCCAAGATCCTAGGTCCAAGCTGGGCCGATGAGACGACTTTCCTCCCAGACATGGGAGGACAAGACTGTCCTTCTGTAGGAGTTGCTCACATTGTGGGATGGGTTTGGGGGTGTTGGTCTCCCTGTCCGTGAGATGGAGACAAGGGGAGCCCTGACATAGTAGAACTACTCTTGCCTGAAGCCAGAGTCGGAGTCAGATCCACCCCTGGAGTTTTCGCGTATGTGAGCCAAAACTGTCCTCCCCTACCCCACAAGCTAATTAGAATAGGGCTTCTGGCATTTGAAACACAAGTCCGGATTCAGTCTGCGAGGCCTTTATCCCCACAGATGGAGCTTTGGAAAAATCAGCCTCCTTGCTTCCCTTGGCTTGTTTGGTTGCACACGTCATATGTGCTGAAAACCAGTCGATTCCTTCCGGAACACCTTAGTTATGGGGACAAACTCCCGGAGGGGCATGTGGAGCATGCCATCTCCCTGACTGTTCTTCTCTTATTCAGCTACTCAAAATCCTCCTCTGCCTGAACCTGTCTACTGATTATACCTTTTGGGGGTTGAATTATGTCCCCCCCGCCAACCCAAAAAGATATGTCGGTGTCCTAACCCCCAGTACTTTAGAACGTGACCTTATTTGGAGCGAGGGTTTTTACAGAGGTCAGCAAGTTAAAATGTGGTCATTACAGGGGCACCTGGGTGGCTCAGTCGGTTAAGCATCCGACTCCGGCTCAGGTCACGATCTCACAGTTCGTGAGTTTGAGCCCCGTGTCAGGCTCTGTGCTGACAGCTCGGAGCCTGGAGCCTGCTTGGGATTCTGTGTCTGCCTCTGTCTCTGTCCCTCCTCTGCTTGCTCTCTGTCTCTGTCTCTCAAAAATAAATAGACATTAAAAAAAGAGAATGAGGTGACGAGAGTGGGCCCTGCTGCATCATGCCTGGTGTCTCCAGCAAGGAGGATGCAGACACAGAGGTAAGCAGGTAGGGAGGCGTCCCGGCGGAGGGGAGGGCACAGGTGCGGCGATGCAGCTACAAGACCCAGAGCCACCGACTGCCAGCAGGCCCCCAGAAGTGGGGCAGAGGCACGGGGAAGATTCTCCGCCACGGCCTGAGGAAGAGCCAGCCCTGCTGACGTCTTGACCTAGGGCTTCTGGCCTCCAGAACGGAGACAATAGCTTCGTGTTACCATCACCTCCCAGGTTCTGGTACTCTTCATGGCAGCCCCAGGAGACTGCCTGCGCACCTGGGACATCCCTGCCTCCTCACGGCCCGGACACCCGCTCTTCCTGTCCCCAAACACACACCAGCTCACCACACAGGGCTCTTTTTACAAGAACAGTGGGGACTCGAGACCAAACCCCATCCCCGGAAATCTGGGGGGGGGGGGGGAGCCAAGGTTCTCGAACTGATGTGCTTCACTGTCTCTGCTGCTTTGGGGACCTCGCTTGACTGGGGGTGGGCGTTCAACGGGGAGAGGAGAGGCTGCCTTTGCTGGAAAGGAGGCTCACGTGCAGTCAAGAACCGCTGGGCTCACGATTCCTTCGACATGCTCTATCCAGAGCAGGCAACCCACAGGGGTAGAGGTTAGAGGTCGTGGGGACGGCGGGGAAGGAGGGTGAGGAAGTGATTACTCAACGGACCCAGGGTGTGTTTATGGGTCATGATGAAATTCAGAAACTAGACAAAGCCAGTGGTTGCACCACCTTGGGAATGTGCTAAGTACCACTGAACCGTATCTTTAAAATGGTTCGTTGAAGGGGACCTGGGTGGCTCAGTCGGTTAAGCTTCTGACTCGGGCTCAGGTCGTGATCTCACGGTTTGTGAGTTCAAGCCACGAGCCGGGCTCTGTGCTGACAGCTCGGAGCCTAGATCCTGCTTTGGACTCTGTGTCTCCCTCTCTTTCTTCCCCTCCCCTGCTCGCACTCTGTCTCTCCCTCTCGCAAAAATAAACAAACATGAAAAAAATTCAAAATGGTTAATTGTACATTATGTGAGTTTCACTTCTTTTTTTTTTTAATGTTTATTTTTGAGAGAGGGAGAGAGAGAGGAGAGAGAGAGGAGGGGCAGAGAGAGAGGGGGAGACACAGCATCCGAAGCAGGCTCCAG